CCAAAGCTATGTAGTGCTCAGCAGGGTGAAAAAAAGTCACTTCATAAGAAACAGCACTATGGTAGAGCTTTGCCAGCATTGCTGTTATACTACTGAAACAGTCTGTTTCTGGTATAGCTTGGTTTGATCAATGGATTGCTATAACAATACCACCAAAATAACTTCTGCTGATACAATTCGCATCTCTAGTAAGCCTGTTGGCCAGAGCAGCAAAACTGGCTCAGTTTTGGACAAGGCTTCAGTGTTCTTTGCGCATATACATTAAAAGAAATAAAAAACCAAAAAAGGTTAAATCTAAAATTTGCATGGGGACGAAGACACGGCATAATCAAACATTAATAGATGTACATCTTCATAAACTTTGAACTGAAACATTAAACACTATCAATTTAATCACTAAATCAGGCAGAAATCCTCATTAAGGGAGAAAAAGTAACTCATTTTAAAGAACTTGCAAGTGAAATTAGTGCTATGAAATGCTGATTTCAGAGTATGTTATGCAGCATATACAAGTTTTCATCATAAACCACCAACGCTTTCAAGATGCATTTCCCCACAGCATATTATTTTTAAAAGTTCACGGAAAGAGGGAAAGCAGAAATAACAGTGGAGTGCACACAGCAGAGGATATTATCTTCCACGAGAAACACATTTCCCTGGGTTTTTTTTTTTTGTCTTTCACCACTTAAAAAAAACGCAAAAACTATTATTATTGTACAGAAGTGTTGAAGCGATGGTTGAGAAGACATTTTCATTATATACATTGCTATTTTCTGTAGTTCATAACTTTATGGGTAGATTAGTCTCATGGGTGAAAAATTTTATGCTTGTCCTCAGTCCAAAGGTGAATTAGTCTGGAAGCCTGATAAAATTCTACCAGGTCACACACAGCTCTGTGACACAGAGAGAGCTGGAAGATCTGTACACAGGGACACCGAGTTTTCTGACGCCCCCAATCTTTGTCCCCACATTGTACCGTATAGAGAGGTTGTCATCTCTCCAAATGCTGCAGACTCCGTGAAATACACCATTCCCGCTTTGTGATTTGCCTTCCACTTCATCTATTTTTATCAAGTCCAAATAATCCTGAACTTGCAGAAGCTTTTCAGTTTAAGACGCAACAAAGTGCTGGATCAAACCTATTTACCAGCAACTGGCAGCGTGTCATTTCCCCATCTATAGTGAAGGGGTAATTAGCTCAGTTTTTGGAAGTCTTCAGACCAGAAGCTTCTTTGTATTCCTTCCCTCTAAGCATCCATCAAAGAAGAAAAAGAAGCAGCTCTCAAGCTTCAAAACAAACTTGAATGACAAGCTGTTGGAATTAGGATTGCCAGGGCTGCAGACTGCCCCAGTGGGACACTTAGTCCTTCAAATCTCTCTTACATGTTGACGAATACAGTACAGCACCTCCCTGTCCTCATCACTTTGCAAATCCTCTCCACCCATGATAAATCCATAGCTCAATCTGGTCTTTGCTCCTTCACAAATCACTGATTTAGTACTATGTGCAACTCAGCCCTGCTTTAGCACGCAATGATGCCCACCTGAAGGCATCAGGTGGCCTGACGATAGGCCACGAGATCCATTCACTTCCAGTACGTATGGTGGACGTGGTACCAGAGAATGGAAATCCCTGACTGCTGAAACAAGAGATGGAAATGGGCTCAATTTGCAGACGCTCAGCAACAGAATTAGAACCAGATTACATTTGCTTTTCTGTAATCAATAATGGAGCTTTTAGGGGGAAAAAAACACCGACAAAAAAAAAAAGTCCGCTCTCTAGAAGAGATACACTACCACTAATGATATTTGTAAAGATACTTTTGAACAGTCTATAATCTTTGCTTATGCTAAGATGACAGCATTTCATGGTGATATTCACATAAATATAAAAAGATTTAGCTGGCACAGACCAATGAAACGCTGATTGTCTCATCACTACTCAGGCTTCCTTCTCCACTGATTTTTGTGGGAATCTCACTTTTCAGCCTGTTACAAAAGTGTAGCTTGGCGTCATACATTTGTGTAAACGTTTGGCCATGGTCATACAAAACAGTGTTCTCAAATGTACACAGCATTTCATGAAGAGTTCAGAAATCAAATGAAGTGCAGAGACACGAGAGAATGTGGATGCGAGTATAAACCTACTGTTAACTCACCATTTCTTCAGTTCAGTAATAGTAATGCATTTCAACACGTGGTCCTGAAAGAGAGCTGAAAAACTGCAATGAAACAACTTACTTACATATTTATCATCCACGAGTATTCTAAACAATGTCTATGAAACCCATTGCAAGACCTGTCAATGCAGTTACACAGTACAGGGTGCAGACATGAACATACAAAATTTTGCAAGCATGGGCGTGCTTGGTTCACAGACCTGTCTATGCAGACTCACAAAATGCTGAAATTTAATTCTGCTCTAGAAATTTCTATGCAAAGAAACATCAAGAAACTGCCATCTGGCTTGTTTTCTGGATTCCATTAAAAAGATCATCTGTGCACAATGGAGGAAGCATCTATACTGCACAAGCACAGTGTTTGGCACGAAAAACACAAACCGTTTGTGAGTGAGAACGACCTGGCTGGTTCCCAGAGCCCAGATCCCAAACTGTGTTTGAAGGGCTCTCAGGGAAAATGAAATGATTACTAACTTCAAATAAACAAATAAATAAATCTACAAAACACATTTAAAGACAATTCTGTGACATTTCTATACTTGCTTTCAGACTGTAACTATTCAAGGAATAAGTTATCACCGTATAGAAAATACTGTGTCATAAGTGTAGCACAGGCAACTTTATGGTGACTCTGAGAACGATCTATTTCAACTCCTCACTTTGTGCATATAAAAATGTTAGAAACGCCTGAAGCATAGTTTGCTGCATTCCAGTCAAATTGTTGTTCTCACTTCAATTTAATCACCTTCACAGGCTCCCTTACTGAGTGCTTCTATTCATAAATTGCATTTTAATAACCCACCTAATTGCCTCCTTTTCCCCAAGCAGATAAGCTTTTAAAAAGGACCGCATCTTTGGTATCTTCTGCTACTTGCAAAATTCAGCTGAGTTCTGTCGATGTTTCTATCTATCACTTCCTGCAAAAGGTGGCTGAAAGAGGGAAAGACAAAAATTGAATAGGGTCTGAGGAGTCTGAGTAAGAGTAATTGCAACTGAAGCAAGGCACAAAGCTCTATCGACTTCACTTCAGCCACTTTTTGAAGTGTGACAGAACTTGCCTATAAAATAAATATTTGATTAAAACTAGTCGTTACAATTGAAAAAGAGTATCAAAGCCTGGATTAAAAAAATGAAAGTTAAGCAAATCCTCTAAGAAATTCTGTAGGATTCATTTTTATACCGTGTCTACACATTTCTATAGTGTCTCTCTGCATTTCTTTACAGTCTGTCTACAACAGATCTTAGTTGATTGTTGCATTAGAAATAGCTGAAGGGGGGGAAAAAAAAGTTTTCTCATTTTAAGCAAAGTCACCATGGTATCAGATTTTGGATACGAAGTCAGATTTTGGATACGAAGTCATTGCTTACGAAGGGTGCTTATCCAAAGAAACAACCCCAAAACCCAACACATTGTGAAGAGATCCAGAGATCCAGCACTAGGAACGCTGCCCACACCCGTTCAACTCCTCCCTCTCTGAGGGAGGCACTTTCAGCCAACAGAGCTTTCATCTTTCACGTTAAGTTGCATTGTTGTTGGCAGGGGATACCTGTGCAGTAGTTATACAAAAACATCTCATCAGCAAATGGGGAAGAAATCTCTAGCATTGTTTATCACAGAGTATCAGTTTACAGAACTAAGGACAGTGGCGTAGGAATGCTTTCATTTTAAATACAGATTAATTCCTATTCTTGGTGCTTAGCACATGCTACTGAAAACGATTCCTGCTGTTCACCAAAAAGCGCAACAGAAAGTTCTCAGTACCATAACTTTATAGTGAGGTAGAGGTGTAGCAGGCAAGTGTTTACCTCCTGATAACGGATCATTTTGTACCTTTATCCTCTCCAAGCCTAGAAGAAAAAAAAAAAGTTTTTAATACTGAAGAGATGTACTACACTGCTGTTTTTATTGTTCTCTGGCATCAGCCCTTAGAAACAGCTGGGAGCCTCAGCGGCTGCCTTCTCTGTAGCCCTCCCAGTCAGTGTATACACACAGCTCTCTGAAAAGTTCGCTACCCCTAACCCGAGGCTATGATGCCACAATCAATCTGAAAGAGAAGAAAAGAGGACAACAAAAATGTTTAAGCACCCAAATTTGTATGTTCTGTGCAATATGGAAATACTCAATACCATGTTCTAAGAAAAAGATATTGGCTCTGATATTATGTGTGATTACAAATGATTACTAGTAACTTTTAGAGATATGTATCTAGCATTTACAGCATGTATGCATCGTGTAAGCTTTATTACGGTTAAGCTGGAGAACAGGTTCCAAAAGCATACTGCAAAAGCTTCTCCTTGCTGACAGACTTGTTTCTATACATGCACAAATATGCTCTTCTCTTCACTAATGTCAGCATGTTATACAGACAAAACCCTTTTAGCATACATTCATCAGTAAATGTCCAAGAAGAACAAATCAGTATGCCAAAACAGAATTTACAAAACCTAGGTGATAAAGCTCATTTTCCAAGGGCTCAGAAACTACAGAATACAATAGTACAATTTATAACATTTTTCATCCTGATGCCAGAGTCAATTTTCCTCTGTGCAAAAATCCAGCGCACTGAAAATCCTGAAAGCATCCAACTCCATATTGTATGGAGTGAAAATACAACACCTATGAAGGGTTCCTAATGGACATGGTGAAGTCGCAGTTTCACTTTTTTTGGCATTTTTTGAAGTAGATTCAGTGAGGTGATCATACATTTTTGTTTCACTTCCACCAACTCACAGAATCCTAGACTCAAAACTGCCTAAGGTGAAAGGACTCATCTAAAGGTTGTATTTAACAGGGAAGAAAAAAGAAGAAAAGTAATCAATATATTCTAGAGTATTTTTATTTTTGCGAAGAAAGCTTTCAATACATCATGCCAAAGTCTGCAAAGTGGCTTAAGTTTTTATTGATAAAATGACATCTTACATAACGTTCTGCACAATGTCTAGTTCTTTAGTGATAGGTTGACAACTTCTAAGATTTACTTTGAAGTACGGGGGAAAGAATTTGCCCATTTACAATTCACAATCAACCTCAGAAATTGTTACTGTGTTTCGGTCCCTCCTCTTTTTTAAGTTTAACCAGAAAGAAAAATTGCTCAGAAAAGCATTAAAATATGTTTAAAACAAGACAAAATAAAAAAAGTCTAACATTAAAACCATTCGTTAGACTCTTCTCAGAAAAAGGTGCAGAAGAGATGACTTCAAAAGAACCTTTAGAAGCGAGATCTCAACACTGTTTTTCTACACATACAGAGCACTCAGATGACACCAATGAATCCAAAGCAGCAGTCAAAGCAATCATCTTGCTTGCTCGAATTCAGAAGACGTGTTTCATGTGCTTGATTCCATATGTTTTGAAGAAAACCATGATGATCAATGCCCAGAGTCCTAAAATAAATCCTCCAGGAGGATGCCAGTCCTTTTGTTTTGGTTTCTGAAAAAAAGAAAAAACAAACAAAAAGAGAAAAACAAAGAATTCGTACTTAGTTTTCACATTAAACAGGCACTGTTTATCGAGTGCAAAAAAAAAAAATTCCTTGCAGTAGAGAGAAATACCAATAAGCTGTATTTCTTCGTAAAGTAGAAGCATCTTTCTTCTTGCTGTGGTGGAAAGGCTGATGGGAGGTGAGCTGCCACTCAAGCAGGGAGGTTAAGTACCACAAAAAGGCCACTAGAACTGTGCCACCACTTTGACAGTGCCTATCAGCATTGTGGGACAGGTTCAAACTCATTTGTTTGGACAGAATCTCTCTTATCTGGTCTCATGTTAATACGAGAGAAAAATGCTGCGAGTACGAAAAACAGTTCCTACAAGTGAAAATGTGAAAGAGAAAAAGACAGTGGGATTTTTCCACTACCTAGAATGTTTTCTACAGCTCCTTTTGTATTCAGAATTATGTGAATAAACAGATATCTAACCACATAAGAAGCTCAGATTCATTATTACAGGAATATCATAAAACAAAATAGGATTGTTTTTAATGTCAATCACATTTCCCAGGGGCCTCATTGAGTCTAACTGCCTTTCCCTAATGTAGAAATATATTCTGCAATTCAAATACCTGTCCCTTCAACAATTTTTTCCATCTTCAGTAAAAAGCAATACACTGCAATTTGTTAAGGCCTCTTCTATCTCACACTTAGCAGTAAGACAAGATAAAACTTGTTTATCCTCTTCCTCCTCCTATTTAAAAAAAATTTCAGATACTCCATATTCAGTGAGAAACGGATTGTAGATGAGAGCTGCTATGTGCCCCAATATCTGTCTCTAAGGCCAAGAATAAGGTGAAGCTATATGAATGCAAAATTTTAGTTAAGAATATCATAACAAAAATATCAGCATTACAGTATTTAGAAGTGTAACTCAGTCCCTCATGCCTGTGCCTACTCTTGCCCTCAGCAAGTATGCTTTACAGATCTTCTCGGCAGACAGAGGTGATTTACTATTACAATAATAAATACTGAAGTGCTTGCTGAGCTTTTTATTCCTGCCTTGCTGAAAGATTTGCACTATTTTGTCCTTGTATAGAACAAGACACAAGGGGCACAGAGAGCATTTTGGTTTTGTTGCATTTAAGTCAAATTTAAAATTCTCTTTCTGCCACGTGAATAACTATTACAAAAGATGGTGCTGTTTCAATTTCTGCGTGAACCTGCATACCGAAGCTTGTCGTTCCCCACTAAACGTACCGGGTAGCTGGTGAACTTTAATGCAATAAGGAACAGTTTGCAGTGTCTGTTCTTTCAAAACACCTTTCTTATCAACGAGAAAACAATGTCTGTTGATTGCTCAGCTGCCATTTTCTAAGCTGCATAGAGAAAAATCCTAAAGCTAAAACTAAGTACTGTGCTTGTAATTAAAAAGTATAACAAATAGCCATGTCACCTGAGACACCCGAAAAACTTGGCACTCTGAAATATTAATGATTTTACTCTGCTACAGGAATCACAGAACCAGCATTATAATTTACATCAGCAACAACAAAACCAAAAATACGAGCAGAGATGGTGTCTATATATGCAAACCACTCAATTTCCTAAGAAGCACTCATCAGCTGCAGTGTACGTGCTGTTGGTAATCTGCCACCTCGCTGATACTCACAACCACACATCTCCATATAAACACCTCCAAAAATCAACTCTGCATGTTCAAAAAGGCTGCCAGCACACCTCGCTTCTGAAAGTAACAGCATACGACACTTCTCCACACAAAGGAACTTCCTTGTTTAAATCCTCCTAATTAACCCGTAACTTTGTATGCATATTGCAGTGCCTGCTTCATCAATCTCTTTGTACTATCAATCTTTCCTTTCTTGGATCTCAGACAAATTCCTTACCACAAAGTGGCACCTGACCCTTCTAGACAAATGACTTCAATTTGCAGTCAGTGACACTAAAAGCCTCTCTCCTCCTATTTTGTACAGAACACGTAATTTAATTTCTTTAAAGAATTTATATGAATAAATATTTATAAGATGATCTATGAGTATGGTTTTACATTTTGTCATGCCATGTACTGAAGCCTCCATGGAATTCTGCAAGCAAACGGAGGCCAGCACAGCAGTGGCTCCGCATTGGGAAATCAAGGACATACGTATGGTCAGTTTAAAGCCATGGGATGCAACGTTAAAATGTGAAGGATTAAAAACATGAAGGCATAACAAAAAAAATACATACGAGACTATACAAGAGCTACATACTTAGTCATCTTATGAGTATGGTTTTACATTTTGTCATGCCATGTACTGAAGCCTCCATGGAATTCTGCAAGCAAACGGAGGCCAGCACAGCAGTGGCTCCGCATTGGGAAATCAAGGACATACGTATGCACAGTTTAAAGCCATGGGATGCAACGTTAAAATGTGAAGGATTAAAAACATGAAGGCATAAAAAAAAATACATACGAGACTATACAAGAGCTACATACTTAGTCCTTAAAAATATTAAAGCCATGGGATGCAACGTTAAAATGTGAAGGATTAAAAACATGAAGGCATAACAAAAAAAATACATACGAGACTATACAAGAGCTACATACTTAGTCATCTTAAAAATAAATTATCAGAATGAGAAAGGTTTACAGACCCACAAACCGAAATCTACACAAAAATATTAAACCACAATAAAAGGGCAAAGAGATGCAACTCTATTGTACATACGTAAGTCAATAGTGAGGTTAATTGAGCACAAAATTACATTGAAGTATGCCAGTATTTTCCACTAGGGGCACACAGACATCAAAACCTTATGAATACCTAAAACGGGATTACACAGATTCACGTCTAAACCTACAAAGTATACCTGTAAGAGCTGAAATAGGTATTTTCTTTAACTTAATCATAGATTCCCAAGAAAGTTCATCACTGAATTAAAAATGTAATTAGCTTTTGAATTGACAGGTTCATCCTTCTAAAATCACAACAAATATAACATAGAAAACTTCAGTAACAAATCTTTGTCCAGATGGGCACGTCAGCTAAGCAGCAAACAGCACCGAAGCTCCTTTACAAAAAGCTGCATTTTGCACCTGTGAATCACACCCATCTACATGCTAGATGGAGTCACTGCTTCCATAAATTACGTCAGCAAATTGTACTTGTAACATAGGCTGGCAGAGAGCTTTCAGCCAGCACAACTGTAACAGCAGACCCAACAATTCTTTCCCCTTGGCACAGTCGTGTCACTACCACAAGCACTGCCGGTGTGCCTACGTCAGCGAGGAAGCATGGCATCACTCCGAGCTGTCACAGCTATGCCAGCAGTCTTGCATAATGAAGTCAGCGGCCAAGGCGGGATGCCCTTCTATAAACATACGTGAGCCTCAACAGTATTGCTGCAGAAGCTGCTGTGACTATTTTGTGCAAGCAGGTGGGGAAAGTCACAGACATCTCTCCTAATGGGAAAAAACTATTAAAGTAAGAAAGAATCACTTTAATAGCAAATGAAAAAGTTTCCTTTTTAGACCCACATACTGGAAAAAGGTTTAGAAAAGACAGAATTTCTTTCTGTGCTTATAGCAGTTCTGTGGCCATAAGAAATCCCTAGATAAACTGTCCCTTTATATCAATTTTAGGACTGATCAGAAAGCATTAGTGAATATAAAGTTTTTCCCAGATTCCTAAAAAAAATAAAATATCAATATTTATCCTATGAATGTTGCCTAGTTCAGGGTCTTACTCCAGCAAATTTCGGTGAAAGTCAGGCAATTTTTGAAAGTCAGGCATTTTTTCACTTGCGAGAAAATGCTAAATGGACAAAAAAATGTTGTGCTGCAGTTTTTTAATTTGCAATTAATTATGTATCTTTATTATGCCTAAATTGATGTGAGAATGCATACTATTTAAAGACTACAGATTGGTTGCAGTACTTACAAATTATGCATAACTTTCTCATATCTGGGACTGATCTGGAGGAGCAGAGGCAATAGCTCTTTTGGCGCAAGTTATTCTGAACTTCATTGTTGCAGTACCCACTTAAGAACTTCATATACCAAGTACTGCTTGTGTAACCCACGTATTTAGGTTGTGTGATTTACGCCACAATACAATCCATTATAAACGCCCTCTTTATCCCTACAATAACAGCAGTAACGCATAGGTGAAATGCACATAGAAAATGGTACAATGTGTCATGAACAAATACATTTAGCAGCTTACGGGCTAGTCATTATTGAATTGCTGGAGATTCCAAATTAAAAAGATAGGTAGCTAAGCAACAGCAAGCTTCCTCCTGTGAACAGTTTTCTGTTGTAGGCTCTCTAGTTCTGGTAGACTCATTATCCTGTGGAACTTAAAAACAGTTAACAGAGAGTTGCTCCAAGTACTGTAATTAAGGATAGGATAAAACAGTATATTTTCAAACTGGATGGGTCTGTAGGGACCCAAATGGAAAGTATCCAAGACTTTCAGTGAAGGTGTTTCATAAAACATGCAATACTTGTTACTCGAATTAAAATGAGTTTTATGCAAAAAATAATAAAGAAGTATTAAAGCTGAAGTGGTAATTAGATTAAGAATGGTTTCATTTTAAAATGTTACATCAGAACAGAAATAAGATTTAAAACATCACGTATTAAAATTTCACATGGAAAACACTGTGTTAAATATCATTATAATCCAACCCTACAGTCCTCTTCCAACAGAACCCCCTTTGCATTAGTGTCCTCAATAAGGACAAAAACATTGGTACAGAAAGCTTTGGGTTAAACTCAAAATCGACATTTGGATGGTAGCAGTAGAGAAAGCAGTGCATGCAGCCAGGAATGTAGTAATTCCCAAATGGAAAAGGGATACGCAAATTCTTCTGTCTCCTCCAGCATCTTATTCCAAACAGGGCTTTAAGAAAGTGGGCAAAACCTTAAAAATGAATGTGCGCATCATCCTTGTTACAAGGGATGTTCTCCCCAGCCTGAGGCAGATGGTGTGTGTTTGTACC